GCTTCTGGGTGTATGTCGAAAGAAAATCCTAAATCCTGCAGGAATTGCTACAGGATCGCTAGCCTTGGAAATTGTAAGACCGTACTCCTTCACAATCAAGTACCTTACTAAAATGTGTTTTTAGCACCCCCCGCCCCCGCCCCCACAGGGCAGTTAGGGTAAACATGATGTTCTGAATGTTGAGGTTTTTAGAATGTTAAAATGTAAATAATATATGATATAAATTAATGATGGACCTTCCACCTACGGCTGAGTGCGAAGAACTGATGTCTTAAAAGCTTTAGCTGAGAATTTGTCATAGCATTGTAGCTCTCCAGGGATGAATGGGATGAGTGTGGGATAAGTGAGTGGCAGGTCTCATCTAGGCCACTATGGAGTGTCATAGAGAGTTTCATCAGCAAGAGCTGATGAAATCCTCTGATATTTTACTTTGAGTCCATTAATAAAGTCTCCTTTAAACACATTTTCCCAAATTCACGCCCACTTTCTGTGTGTGCAGAATACTTTGACATTTTACTTTTTTTCCCTCAAATCCTTCACAAATCACAAAAATATGCCTCACATGTGCGCACTCACACACACACATACACCTTGCTGTAAACCCTGTGGTAGAGGGAGACGCAGACAGTAGACCGATTAATGCAGACTAATTGGAAAGAAAAGACACAGCGCTGCAAAAACTATTTCTGCGTACATATCTGCCCCGGAGAAAAGAGCCTAAAAAAAAAGAGCCTAAATCCAATCCTCAGTTTTCCCCCAAAACTGTCAGACGGAGAATAAATTATGTGGGTCTCAAAAACGAATGACAACATGGAAAATGAAGAAAGTACCATTACCCAACACGTCTCTCTGTTATATCAGTTACTTCACACAGGCTTGGCTACGGCTCTTGTTTTTCACGCAGCTGTGGCAACTACACATTACTGTGGTTACAGATAGAGAGGTTTGTTGATATTCTAAACTCACACACGCCTTGTGTGCGTGATTAAATATCAGCCAGTTAGAGTCATCTAGCACTGATGTCATGACGCCACATTGTAATTAGACAGTGTTCGCACGTCCGTGCGGTGCTTGCTCGGTAAGATTCACTGTTCGGTGTCCCAGTTTACTGCAGATCATCACGGCAGCATTTGTTTGGCCAGTTTGACCTGATTAAACATTACAAAAAGTGGTTTGGGTCTAAAGGGTTTTTTTTATCACGAAAAACAGAAAACAATTGTTTGTCATCACGGACATCTTTTGTGGTACTAGGGGTCAAAGACTGTATTTGTTAGACGGCTAGACATTTTCCAGACAGTCACCTTGTGGAGACTTTGAAATGAAATATAATGAGTTTTTTTTCATAACTATTTTCAGTTTAGTAGGGACCACACAGTACTTTCTCTTTGGTCCTCACAATTTTAAAATTCTGACGTGGGCCAGATTGGACGGTTCATCGGGCTGGATCCAGACTGCGGGCCGCCAGTTGATGATCACTGGTTTAGCCTACGCATTATTAATGACCTTTACATCTGGACCCTCTTCATTTATAAGTCATCGCGGCTTCAATACACAGTGATGAAGGCATGGCGACGGCCCTCACCAGGAACTGAAACTTTCATTAAAGTTGTTGTTTTTACTCAAGGTGACACGAACAAATACAACAGTCAATTCCTCTATTCATTTCTTTAAAGCTCTTTAAGGTCACCCAAAAAACACTCACTTCATCCAAATCTACACACTATTTTCAGTGAAGTTACAGCCTTAGAAACAGACTAGTGAAAATTGTGTTTTTTTACAAAGAAAAATGTATGAAATTAAATTACATGCAAACATAACTTAAGTTTACTAATATAAAGAAACTGTTGACTGACTGACTTTATAATGCATGCACTCAAAAAATGCATATCGGTGGGACTGCGGAAGACCAAATGTGAAATAAATATATACATACATAAATAATAAATATATATACAAATTTATATAAAAGTATATTTTAACTGATTTAGCAATATAAAAATCAAGGTTTTTGATAAGAAAATAACAGGCAGCTTAGAAGTTTGTATATCCATCTTGTTTGTTGCATTTACTGTAGTTATTTTACATACGGTGTTTGCGTATGCATTTGCATACGTCGTAATGAACATTTCAGTCAATGACTGTCTTTTCATTTTTTATAAACATTTGATGACGGATCCAAGCCAGACTATCGCGCGTGACCTTTAAAAACTTAACGCCATTGACACAAAGCAACACCCAGTTGTCTCTATTACCACAGCAGTGAAGCAAAGTAGTTACAGCTACATCAGCAGAGCAGCCCGACTTTTCCTCCAGAAGACAAAGGAGACAAATGGTTACTAATGGAGCACATATGTCACTTTAATAACAGGAAAAACGGCACAGACCCTGACTTTCTGCTTCAGAGCGTCTGCAGTAACATTTGTTTTGTCTTCATACATTGATTCAATATAGAATGTGACGTGTGCAGCGGGAAACGCAAAAACACAGCGAGGATTATTTTTAAAAAAAGAACCAAAATGGGGACAAAGACGCCACTCAGTCGTCAGTCTTTGTTTGACAACGTCACTCTGTCATTTGGACAACTTTCCATTCAAACCCCACCCCTCCTCCAGCCCCCACCCAAACACCACATCTTCCCAAACTGTTTCATCTACATACAATCAAGTGTTGACCCAAAGCAGACTGAGCTGTGATATAAATCCTCTCCCAGTCTGACCCCCCCGACCTCCCCTCCCGTCTCCGTCCCCCCACCCTCCCTTCCTCCTCCTCCTTTAAAAGCAGCGAAGAGGCAGCTACACATTTAATGCTTCCCTCTTCATCACTGACAATGATGCATTAAAGACTGCATTAATCAGAGCCTATCAGACAGGGGGGCGGGAGGGAGGAGGGGGTGCAAGTGCCCGGGAGTACTCACCAGCATAATGTGTGTGTAATACATGCCTGGTGTACTGAAAGTATGTACTGTAGTAGTGTGTAATGTGTCCAGTGTTGTGGACGCAGAACAGAACAGAAAGGTTCATTTTAGATCAGTGTAAAAAAAAACCCCACTCAAAACAACTAGTTCAGGCATGGGCAAACTAAGGCATGGGGGCCGGATGCGGCCCGTTCAGCTTTTTTACCCGGCCCGCCAAACGTTTCCAAATTATATAGTTTATTATCATTACAATTCTTTCCTTACCCTGCAATACCCACATATCCCCAAAAAATCATTTTAGCATTTTAGCCTTTATGAATTACTTTTACGTGTCATCTTAGTTCACACAAACGCTCCATCTATCTGCTCCTGTCCCGCCACCCCCCCCTTTCAATTTTAGGACCAATTGTGGCCCGCGAGTCAGAAGGTTTGCCCACGCCTGGACTAGTTTCCAACACAGGGTTTCCAACGACTGAAAACACTGTAAATGAAATGTTATCCCTTGTCTTTGTGCTTGAACAAAACAATAAAATGTATTTCCTGTTCAACTCTGCCATTGTCATGTTTGTTGTACTACTAGAGTAATGATCACTTCAGAAGCAGTACTTCAGTTGGGCTACTTTTTGTGACACCTGAGGTGATGACACATGATGTTACAGCACAGCATCAGAGCGAGTTGGTGCAGTAGACTCAGAGATGTGAGGGTGTGTTCACACTTCTTTTTTGGTTTCCTTTGACTCACAAAAACCAAAACATCTTGACGTCAATAACAGAGGCAAAAGAGCAGAGAGTCCTGGGTTCTATTCCTCGAGAAACCACGCATCTCTAATGCTGGGTGTCTGATAAAGTGAAGGGAAATTCCAATAGAAAACTAAACAAACTGCTGATGTTTCTCTTGGATGTGGTGCAAAACCTGTTTTTAAATGTAAACATGGAATAGTTCATCGGTTTGTTAAGAGACCAATTACAGGAACCAGAACCCTGAAGCCTGAAGCCCCCTGAAGCCCCCGCTGTAGTCTCCATTTATTTCCAGTAAACCTACTGCACGACTACAGCAGTAGGTTTACTGGAAATAAATGGAGACTACAGCGGTGTTTCCCGAACTTTCCCGTTTTCTGGGGACCCATATTAAGTCATAAACCTTCATGACCCAAGTCAATAGACATTATTGGTAAACTCCTGGGAAACATGATGAGAGACAACCCAAAAAAAAAAAAAATCTCTTGTGACAATGCACTACAGTATACAGCTAAAGGTCTATGGCAGGGGTGGCCAACCAGTCAAGAGGCTAAGAGCCACAATTTTTTACTGCATTACTGCAAAGAGCCACATAATATACAGTACATGGGCACACATGAACTGCTCCACCCCTTTAAAAATAAATAAAATAAAACTCCCCCACTCTTTTAAAACTTTCTGCAAACATGTTTTTTGATTTCTATGAAATGGGTTCTTGGATCAACGCCCATCGGCATAAGAGTAAAAAAGCACAAACATAAAATTTGACATGATCGTAAGAGCCGCACGAAACCGGGCAAAGAGCCGCATGTGGCCCCTGAACCACAGGTTGGCCATGCCTGGTCTATGGTCTCAGTCACATGACCAGTTTTTTATACCTGGTCTGCATAAGAGATGCTGCAGTAACACAAATAACAGCCAATCAGCTCTTGGTTTGGTTCAGTCAGATGGTGGAAATCATGACATTTATTTTGGGAAAGGTTTTGATGTTATTTTTTATTATTATTATTATTTTACTTAAAGAATCTTTAATCAGACTATAATTAGTAATTGTGGTTTTGGAAAAGTACGAAGGGCGTTCATCCTCAGATGAAACCCTGTGACTATTCAAGGTGTGGAACCTGCACTCATTTAGAGATTAGTACCTTGCCCAAGGACACAGTGGCATGCAGCTTCAATCATTACCAAGACATTTTGTTTGGGAAGCAAAGCCAAGCAGCCACATCATATGTGCTAAGAGCAGAAAAGATACTTCCCCAGAATTACCTCTAACCTCAGCCCTCTGTCTCTGAAAAAGTTCTAATTACAGAAGAAGAAAAAATGAAGATAAACCTCTTTTAGGACTTACCTTCCCAGCTCTTCGCCAAATTCGTAAAACTCCTCCACATTTTCCTGGTTAAAAACAGTCATGTTGCGCAGGCACTTCACTATGTCTTCGGCGTTTTTTCCCACACAGCTCAGGCTGCTGAAGAAAGAAGCTCCTGAATCACCGGCTCTTCACCGCACTACCATCTCTACCAGGAGCCTCCTGACGGGGCAGGGCTCCGGCCAACGGACCTCCTCATGTCCAGGGCTAGAACACAAACACAAGTGCAATTGATGAATTACAACTGGTACGTGGCTAAAGCACAAAAAGAAATAAGCAAAAAATAAAAAATAAAGTGGGCGTCCATTCATGAACAAAGTGTGTGAGAAATGAACCTGCACCTCTAGGGCGACGTCACGACTCGAGGACCTGATCTTTCCTTCCTTCCTTCCTCCGCCCCACTTTTTATCTTTCCCCTCCTTTTTCTCCGACAGGTATAACTTTAAATTATTTCACCTGCCATTTTCCACTACATATCAGTGCATGTGTATGTGTGTCACCACAGACCGGCTAGGAAACGTGTTACACCCGGGAAAGCTTGGTGTAGCCATGGGAAACACACCGATCTCCTCCTCCTCTCAGTCCGGCGTGGGGATATGACCACTTAGTGAAGTCAAATCCAAATGTCCGTCTTTTTAAATGACTACACGGGAAAATTTGGATGATTATCTTTAGGAAAATAGGCATTTAATTTGTTTGTGGGGGTTTTTTTCCATCTTAAAAAAACCTCCCTGCACATCACTGTGTGGATGTCCACCAACACGAATACTCACACAGCTTACTACATTTTCAGCGCTGCTTTTAAAGATTTTCTCTTAAAACTGAGGCAAATGTTTAATTAAATAAGGAGAAGTATCTTACAGTTTGTCGCGCAGTTTCTCCCTCCCAGGTGTAGTCGAGATTTGAGGCGTGGAGAGGAGCCCGTGATCCGGGTTTGGATCACGGAAGACAAAATGCTGGAATGAACAGCAGGAACGAGCGTTAACAATGTAAGGCAGGCTGCTGCTGCTGCGGAGGCGTTCAAGGACAGCACGTGATTTAGGCTCACAATTCTCATGTACTTTTCAATGTTCAAATAATACAGAGCATACAACGTGTCACTGATGGCAAAGCGTCACAAAATATAGCAATACTATTTAGTTAATCGTATTTAGTCCTATTCTAACGTATTTTTTTTTACATGTGGTGAATTCTATTGTTCATCTTAAAATGACGTTACGTTGTCATGGTTTCTTACGTTCCTCGAATGCACCACTATTGTATATGTTAGGTCAGCTGCAGGAGCCGCCTTGACCACTGGGCGAATACAGAGCTTTCATCAAATTTTAATCCCATTTAGCAGTGTGGTAACCCCTTTGATTTACCCGATTAGTCGACTGATCGGCCATAGTCCAATCCTATTTTAAACAACCACTTGAAGAAAGAAAAATATATATTATTTTAAATTTTAATATATAATTGTCTCTGCTCCCCTATGACTGAATTAAAAAATAAAATAAATATAAATGAAATAATTTGATATTTATTGTTTGTTAAGCACAAAAGCACATTTTTTTAATTTATATTTTGTAGATAAAATGGCTGATTAGTGAGTAATTAATTAAGATAATCGCATTAAATTAGTCAAGTACGGCAGCATTAGTTAAATAAATCTAAAAAAGTTCTGTGAATTAATTTCCGTATTTTCATTTAGTAGTTGATACCAAAATAAAACCGATACGTCGTTTTATTTTACAAGACAAATAATGAATGTAATAATCTGCATTTCTAAAAATGTGAATCACAGACAAAATCTCTACCTTGGTTGAGTCTCGTGCCTCTGAACTCACCTGGATCCTGACAGGGCAAATGGGTCTAAAACGTGTTTTTTTTTTTACCAAAGGTGGTCCGATGCTGCCCCCTGGCGAATGTTAGGGTTGGAGAAAGCTGATCGAATGCACTTAAATTCTACTCTTCAATTTAACAGAGACAGAAACATTTCAATCATACATTTATCCCAACAATTAATCATTGACATATATTTCTACCAGACAACAAGTAGTTGGTGTCTGTCTGTTTAAAATGTCTAAAATAATTAAAAAACATGTTACATGTTTTTCCAAATACATCTAATTTTCTTGTAAATGTGCAGCTGATAATAATTTTCAGCTTTTCACTTCCAAACCATCATTCTCATTTATAGAAGCAACGCTAATTGTTTGCATTAAAACATTTATAAAAGAATGGTAAACGGAGGCTATCAAATTTAAAATTTAGCATTTATTTAGTGTTTGGTGAAAAAGGGGGGGGTTCCTTCACAAACATTTAAAAAAGTAAACCTAACATTCATTCAGATTTTTTTACAAGCCCTAAACAGAGACATACAGAATGATTGACGCTCTTAGAAATTATACATTTGTGTACAGACAAGTAAACAGTTTCGACTTTGGCTCCATCTATTGGTCAAACTAAGCACAACAGCATGTTCATTTCCTTTATCAAACGAAAACAATACAATCAAAAACAGTGTTTACTCTAAAGTAGTGTAATAATTTGGTAAAAGGGCATTTAAAAGACTTTTACAGTGTCGTTTTCCTTCCATGCTAACAGTTACTGTAACAGCAGACAGTCATACAGTGTGTCCAGACTACAGACATAGGATAAACTCCTTCATTCACATTGTCACTATGCAAATCATTAAGGGTTAGGGTTAGACATCAGTGTCTAAACTCCATGCTAAGGCTGACGTACATTAGCTGAGCTAATAAGGCAAAGTTATGTGGCTAGGCAAACATGGACGGCATCAGGAAATAAAGCTTTCTTGTATCACAGGAAAGTGGCTAGCAGCTACATAACAAATCTGTCAAAATATTACTCTTTAACTGCCCCTGAGCTACACATTTGTATCTAAAACAAAACGGCACAAAGCGAGTTTGGACGATTCCACACTGACGTGACAAGAATGACGCAACAGGAGGCTCTGTTTGTCCCAACACAGACTCAACAGAGTGTTGAACTGCCTCACACCAGCCATTATAAAGCTACAGTATTCAAGGAAATATGTATTTTTGTAAATATATAAATTACTAATAATGAGAGCAGAATCCTGTTATTTTAAACACTAGAAGTGAATACTGTTTAAACCATGGCATTTATATCATGAGGAAAATAGGACTACAGTATAAATGAGGGGCATTTATTTAATGCTAAGAGGGCGCTAGCTGGTCTCTAGAGCTAAATGTACAATGGTAAGTCAAAAAGATCCAAGACAAATTTAAAAAATATTGAGAAATATTTTCCAAATTAACAAAAGTTCTCTACACATCCTCCATTAAAGTCGTAACACATCTACAATCAAGGCATCCATTGGAGAAATTACATCTCTAAAAAAATTCCTGCGTCACATGCATCCTTGTCACATCTAAGTTTCTTCGAACATTCTGAAAATCAGCATCTTTATGAGGCCAATATTTGAATAAATGTTTGCATATTTCTCTTGAAGCTTTTCCACAGTTGCTGTCATTAGTCTTTCTATTTTCCAGCAATTAACAGAGAATTTTTTTTTTAATATTTAGGAATGTTAAATGATCTCTATCACGATTAGATGTATACAATTACGGTCACGATTATTCCCGATTAATCACGACTGTCTGACAATTCGGATCGGAACATTTAAACGTGTGTTATGTGTAAAACTGCGGCTTGTATAAACGTGAAACTACAGACTATTTAACTTAAAAGCCTTGTACTGTTTGATGTGCCACTAATTAAAGAAGACTAGATTATGACTAGTGTAAAAAGAAACAAGTCCAAATGTGACATATAGGAGGGAATATTCATTACTGCCCTTCAGCTGAAGGTCTGCTAACTACAGTAAAGTAGTGCTACAATCTTAAGTCATTGTCCTAATGGCTGCGAAAGGCACATGATGATGACAGTATGATCAGTTGACGGATGGAAAACACTCTCTCTCTGACTCAAAAACAGCCCCGTCTCATATGGCATGACTAGTGCAAACAAGGGATAAAAACAGTGAAGACACAAAAATCAAGTTGATCAAGTTTTGAAGTTCTACATGTCTAAACATCACATGGCTGGCTGACACCCTTCCAAGGCCGAGTCCTGTGTCTACACACTATAAACGAGAGCCAGGAATGAAAGGGAAGGAAACACTGGATTAATCTTCACTGAAATCACACGCTGTTGTTGTGGCAACAGATCCTCCGTGGACAGAAAACAAATGTCCCTTCTCACCGTTCTGTGTGCTCTTCAAAATGTACATGTCCATACGGTAAAGGTGTGTATCATTTATCTTCAGTGGACCCACGTGAAGTAAGCAACCTCATCCAGTTTCACGCGGTAGTTAGGGAGGTACATGGGGCCTTTATCAAAAAGTTTCCCATCGTGGCTGCGCCACCTTCCTGCCGGCAGGTAAATATCTCTTTCCTGTTTTCCTGGCTCTAAGACCGGAGCGACAATTAGATCGTCGCCGATCAGAAACTGGGAGTCGATCTTGTAGGCCGCGTCGTCGCCATTGGCGATCCACCACAGGGGCCGAATGATTGGGTCGCCTGTGTCCAGGACTTCGCCAGCCAGTTCGAGGACTCTCGGAGCGACCAGGGTTTTGTGGAGCTGTGTGAACTTCTGCGCTATCTGCACCACCTGCAGGGATGGAAACAGATGGAGTACTTTCAGAGTAACACGATTCATACAAAAAAAACCTGCAGTTTTTGATTTTCTCTCTGCTGGTAACCATGTTTTTTGGGAGATCAAATGTGTGTTGGTGTGAATCCAGACACTACTGGACAGAATGGAAATGATTTTTATAATTTTTACAAAGAGTGCCACCTCCAAAAATAGTACGACCAACAATAAAATATAACAGTACAGACCATTACTGTTCTGCTAAGACTAGTATATACAGACTAAAGAAGATAAAGTCCTAAAATGATCTCATTAGACCAATGGTTCTCCAACTGTTTCTACTCTGTGCCACCTGAGAAAACCCTGAAAGACACATGGTGGGGTTCGGCGGAGGTCAAGACACACACCTGACTCATATAATTCATAATGACACGCCCCCCGCTTGGCCATCACTGAAGGGTTCGGTGAATGCGCATACGAAACTGGTGGGGTTCAGTACCTCCAACCTCCAAGGTTAAGAACCACTGTGCTAACACTCAACCTACCACTAGAGAGAACCCAAGAACCACTAAAAGAGCGCGTGCCATGGTTTGACAATCACTACTTTTGTTATTCTAATCCTGGTGCTCAGACTTATTTTAGTTCATGGGCTGCACATGGCGTGATTAAATGTCAAGTGGGCCAGACCAGTATCATAACATAATTACCTAAAAATAACAATAAGTCCATGTTTTTTTCCCTTTTCTTTACAAAAATTTTCCAAACATAAAGTGTTTATATATATATATATATATGTTATATATATATAAAACATATATACAGTATATAACATATATATGTTTTATATATATATATGTTATATATATTTTTAATACATGAAGCGGGCCGGATTGAAACCCCAAGTGGCCCGCGGGCCGTATGTTTGACAATCAATGTTCTACTCATTTTCACCTGGGTCCACATCATCAATACAGGCCGGGCCGGTTGTAACTGGAAGACTGTATAGATCAGGGGTCCGATACAGAATAAAGTCTAGTAAATGTAATAAAAATCTTTTAATTTCTCAGGTTAAGAAACTCTGCTGCATGGACTTTACCAAATGCTTTATAAGCTCCCGCGGTCCACACAAAACGGCTTGGCGGGCCGCATTTGGCCCCCAGGCCTTAAGTTTGATACACATATGTTCTAGTCCCTTTCACATCCTTAGGTCCTGACACCTATGAAGCACCCAGTACTCAGTTAAACCACGTAATCTTTTCAATCAACCCGTTCATTGATGTGAACTTTTCAAATCGTCCCAGTTTCACACATGAGTAAAAGTAGGACAGTCTGTTCTGTTCTGTGAGTTTTGAGCGATCATCACTTTGGGCTTGGCCTATTTGTGAGTGTGGCTTTAAAGAAGAGATGCACTGATTCTTTAAACAAGGACAACTAGTCTAACGACTCACGACTGTGGATCTCTGAGGAAACATGTCAAACCAAGGAGAATTTACAGTCCTGAGTCAAACTCACCAACACTGACTACCACCCTGAAGAGGACAGAGGACCAATGTTTACCCTCCACCAAAGAGGTCATCAGAGGTCACACTTTCAGTGCCAAAAATTCAAGCACAGCCAAAATGACCTCGAGGTAAAACTGTGACAGAGGAGTTTGGTTCAACTGTATTTTCTTCACATCATTTCTGATTTTTAACCCTATAAAACCATATGTATCATATTTGCTACACAAGATTAATGCTACACAAGCGAAAAAATTGTCAAAAGGCCTAAACATATCAATGTGGTAAAATTCTTTCTATGATTTTGTTGTAATGTGAAATAAATATCTCAGTATCAAATATTTAGAATTTCTCTGGGATATATATATTTATGTGTCAGGCTGTACAGGGTTAGTGCTCCTGTCGTACAGCAGCCCAAAGTAGGGGGCGCGACAACATCTAAAATGTTCAGTTCAGTGAAGTTTTATTGTTGTTTATTGAATGTGAATATTATGACTTGACTTTTCTACAAATGGGGGGCGCTGCATTCACTCATTCATGCATCTATACTCTGGGTTCATTGGCGATCTTACAGCTGTGTGACATAAAACAGTCAAAAACACATCGCAGTTCATTTTATTCGTTGTATATATATTTTTACAGTCCTCACCTCGTCGTCGTACGCCCATGGTGGTATGGAGAACTGCATGACAGGCATGAACGCCGACAGCTCCAGCCATCGGATGTACAGCTCTCTGTCGGGAAGACCCTTGATCGTATTTGAACCACCTGGAATCAAAGCAAAACCACTGGGCTGAACTCTGTTCTCGTTCTGAATCTACACAAATGTGTCACGGTCTTACCTTCAGTGTGGTTGGGATACGCATTCCCACCAATCATATCAGGAAGGACAAACTGGTAGCCCAGAACGCTAATGGTGAGAACAGTTGGAATGATGGACTTGAGGCCGAGCTCGTAGCCCCACACCGAGTCTCTGTCGATGATTCTGGAGAAGCAGGAGATGTTCTGACTCTGGAAACCTACCCTGAGCTCTGCACGCTCACTGTAAGGCGTGGCCATAGCTGCGTAGTAGCGGGTGAAGGTGGAGGGGTCAGAAAGTGGGACGAAGGTGCTGAACTTCTGGGGGAGGTAACTCGTCTCCCCTGCATCGAACTTGAAGGAGGTCACGTCATAGTGGGATTTAAGTGTTTGTAGATGGGAGGAGAACCACTCACAAGCTTCCGGGTTGGTAAAATCCAAGATTCCTCCGATACCATTCCACCAACGTACCAGAGCTGGCAGTTCACCACTGGGCTCCCGGACAAACAGTCCCTTCTCCACAGCAACTCCAAAGTTGATGGAGTCGTAGTTGATGAAGGGGTGTGTCCACAGAGACACCTGGAAACCGTCCTCCTTGAGTTTCTCAAACATTCCACTGGCGTTGGGAAATTTCTGAGGGTCGAAGTCGAACTCTCCGTAATCAGCGGTGTAGCGGTCGTCAAGCTCCAGGTGAGAGCACGTGAAGCCGTGATTGGTGATTTCAGAGGCGTAATGCAGCAGCTTCTCCTGAGTTATCGACGCTTTGTACAGAGCCCACGTGGACCATATCGGATGTTTGAACACTTCAGGCGACGGGACTTTGGTCGGCTTTGGAAAATACCGACGCACCTGAAGAAACAGAACCGAAACAGACCCAAGTTAAAATGTATTTCAGTAACGTTAAAGATTTCTGGGGTTTTTTTGTAGATTTGCAATAGCCTGGTGAACAGCATGCTCACACTCACCATGTATTTGTGAATTGATGTAACATCTGAGCCGACACACACTCGGTAGCTGAGCTCAGGTAAGGCCTGGTGTCCCAGTGGCGCCATGAATGGAGAGTCCTGGTACCGAGCGTGAAACCTGAGCGTCCTGTCCTTCTCTGACCAGCCCAGGTGAAAAGGTACGGAGTCATTGATCTTGATGGCAGTCGCGTTGGACGACAGCCAATAGCGTTCTAAGATTCCACCGAAAGCGTTTCTATTGACGTAGACGTCACTGGTGATGAAAGGCCGTGGCTCCTCCTCACCCTGAATCTTCATGGGCCAGTGTTGTGTTGCTGTTTCTGCCCCACCGTACCAATGGGAGTCATTGTAGGCCATGCTGTGCTCCACCCACTCTTTGTCCTCCAGCTCCTCCCAGCGAACGCGATAACACATCACAGTGTCCTTTGGTCGAACCGTCTGAATAAAGAAGTTGAGCTGTCCAGAAGTGGACTGAGTGCAGGTCAGAACACTTCCCTCCTTTGAGCAGGAGTCCAGCTCCAGAGTACCAGACCTAAGGAGGGGTAAGTAGGAGAATCAGAACACTGCAACATTTTTCTAAAAAAACAAATTTGTTTAAATTTTCTCAAATCCTGTTATTTTGATAAAAAAAAGAGATCTAACCAATCACAGGACTACAGTCCCTCAGCCTATGGTTGTAAACATGGTGTAAACAGGAAGCTGTGAGCACAAACAACAACTACCTTTTTAACCCCCCATGTATCGCACTGGATTGTACAAAAGAAATTGTTGAGCTGTCAAATAACTACAATTTTGATCTGATTAATCACAGGACAGCTGTAGATTAATCATGATTAATTGTGATTGCACATCTTAAGCTGATTAATTTTAAATATATAAAATAGAGATTAATCAACATTCCTAAATATTACCTTAAAACTAAATTCTGTCTGTGTGTCTTACCTGAAGTTGATGCTGCCAAAAAATCATGCTGGGAGTCGAGGTGATATATATTTTAACCCTGAGATGGTCCAGCACTAAGATATAGTAATAAAGTAGCCGCCTGTGGATGTTTAGCTGTAGTAATGGCTGTGAAAGTATCTTTGAGCAAATACAATAAAACTTCCTTTATTTTTTGAGACCAATACATTTTTTAAGACTTTAGGTCTCAGTTCCAAATACAGTTGACCAAAATGGGACATAATGTCAGCACATATGTACCATATTTTCCAAAATATAAGTCGATCCGGGGTATAAGTCGCGCGAGTGCCCTCAAATGTGCACATTTGAACATTTGAAATTATATATTTTAATATATAAGTCAAAAAAACCCAGCCAACGATTAAAAATGTGTGACTAAAATATGGTATATGGTATTAACATCCTCGTAGAGTCCAAAGCACAGACTCACCTGAAGACTATGGTGAAGACGACGTTGCCTGCCTGGTTACGAATGACAAAGCCGTCCTTGTTGAGGTCCAGTAACTCCGTCCTCAGCATGTGAGCTTTACGCAGAGATGCTGAGTAGTAGCACCAAGCGACCACAGCGGCTAGCACTAAAGCACAGCCCAACATCCCAGCCATCACCAGGGGCCGGCTTTCTTCTGATAGCTTCTTCTTGACCTTCAGTTGCGGTGAACCACTGGATCTCCTGGCTCTTCGTTCTCCCCCAGACCCAGGAGCCATGGGGACGATCTCATACATGTTGAGAACCGGGTGCATTGTAGTGCGCATTCTGGCATTGGAGAGTGAAGAGGCAAAAAAGGAAAATTTGGAGCAGGAGCTGTCTGGAAACTAGTCCTTCTCTAGTCTCTTGTTAAACGCCCGCAGCCTCTGGAGTCCTCAGGAGAATGAGACGTGAAGGTGAGAGCAGCTACAGGCTAATCCTGGGTGAAGACTTCATGTCTGGATCAGATTAAAAATTCAAAGCTGCAAAACCAACAAAGGCAGAGCAGAGTAAACACTCAGTTTAACACCCAAAGCTGCGAGAGTCAGAAAACTAAAATGAAGTCATTACAAATATGACAGGCATGCAGAGCATAATGTCGCACTCGACCTGATAATCCAGTTCTGACCGTCTCCACCTGCAGTCTGAAGGTAGTGTTTGTACCAACAGCTGTGGGTTTTCTCACGCTCCTAACCATTATGATTATAGAAGACGTATTCTGATCAATCCTGTACATGCTGGCTTTATTAAAAAGTTTAATTCAGAGTTATGAAGTTTAAATACTGTTACTGAGAAATTCACAGTAACATATATATAAAATATATATACATGATATAAATGTGAATAATTAAAGAAACTTTAGAAACATAAGTTAAAAAAGCAGAATTACATTTTTTTTTTTTTTTAATATTTTTTTTAATCCCTTGAAGAGGTTCTCAGCATGGGGGCGCAGCAGGTCAAATTTATTAAATTTTGAATATAATTTATTTTTATGTAACAGTGGGAAAACTCACTGATTTGCAATTGTATTTCCTTTTTTAAGTGAAAATACATGAGAAATTTAAAACAAATTTTAGTTGGATTTTAAAGCAGTACTTGTGAATGTATTGACGGGGGCAAAAGGGGCAACTATGATAACTTTGTCCACCATACTTAGCTGACTTCAGTTTAACTTTAACCCAGAGATTTAAGTCAAAATATCATTTTCTTTCAATTACGGTGATATTTTATGAAATATTTCATGTAAATATACAACTTAAAAATAATGTAAGCTTCTTGAAATTGTGTTTGATGTGTTTAAACCTTCTTTTCTTTGAAACATAATTTTATAAAATGTACTAGTCACCCACTGTCTATTGCTCTATTATGAGCTGGAATTTCAGGTACAAAAAAGAACAAAAACAAAACACCCTTCAAAATCAAAATACATCGGGCGATTCACTGCCGACCCCCTCTAATCCCCCCTCCCCTCCCTCGCCCACTCAACACCGTCACTAGACTTTTGTTTACTGTAGTGTTTTAGCAACAGCACCTGTTATTGTATAGAATGCATTCTGCTATAATCGTGGCCCTGCAGCATAATGCAGCAACACAACCAGCAGTGTGAACAGAAAGAGAGAAAGAGAGAGAGTGTGGAAAGGAGAGAAAGAGAGAGTGCGAGGGAGAAAAAGAGAGAGAGAGAAGGAGAAGGAGATAGCGAAAGAGAGAGAATGTGAGAGAGAGAGAGAAACAGAGAGACAAAGAGAGAGTGTGTGTCAGAGTGAGAGATATATATAGAGAGAGTATAAGAGAGAGAGAGAAAGAGACAGGGTGTGTCAGAGAGAGAGAGAGAGAGTAAGTGAAAGAGAGAGAGTGTGAGCGAGAGAGTGTGAGAGAAAGTGTAAGAGAGAGAGTATGTGAGAGAGAGAGGGAGTGTGTGAGAGAGACTGAGAGACAGAGACAGAGAGAGAGAGAGACAGGGGCTGGAGCTGATGATTGTGGTATCATCAGCTAAGAACAGGTTCAGATTGTTGAAGGTCCAGACACCGTGTCAGCATGTTCAATTATACTCCTCTCTCTCTCAGACAGGATGACCATGGACCAGTCTACATATTATTTATCAACAGCAGCCCTCAAACAACTGTACTGCAGAAGACTGGTCCTCCCCACGACCACTCAAGCCTCATTAGTGTATGAGGCCACAGGAGATACAGTGTCCTATCACTGTTTTGCATTCAGATACAGTATGTGTGTAATTTCTATCACCTATTGTGCTTGATGCTAAGCTACACAGTATCTGTTCTAACATTCATAAAGGCAGTGGGGCACTTGGAATGAGAATTAAACTGTAAGGACTGTAAAGTTCTAGTTATTCTGTTACTCTGGTTTGGATGTTCAATTTCTTATGATATGTGGTTTCTCTTGGAACATTAAAACAAACAAACAAACATCAAGCTGACAAGGAGGTGGCAGAGATAAAAATGGTGAGGAATTTCCAGAGGAATAAGATGATTAGGTGAGGAAAGGGAAGAGGAAGACCTAAGAAAAAATGTGTGTGATAGAAAGATAGGAGCATGGGTAACCCAGGAGAGGAGCACAGAGGACAAGGAGAAGAAAAAGAAGAAGAAGAGGAAGAAGAAGATGAAGAAATCAAATTTGTTAATATCTGTCAAATGATTAACGTACATTTACTGAATGAAAATGTTTTTGCAATGCTATTAGATACTAGCAAGGGTTTCATCACTGTCAAAAATGTACTCATGCTTAGAAGAAAAATAATCTTGTATACACAATATTTGTTCGCACAAAAACTTTCTCAGTTAATGTTAATAATTGAAGGCATTTCACAAACTTTCGTCACCCAAGTCAATAGACATTATTCGTAAACTCCTGGGAAACATGATGCAAGACGACCCCGCAAAAAATCTCTTGCGACCCACCTGAGAGTCTCGACCCAGTCTTTGGGAAACTGACTCAAGGCCACTTTAAGACCCTTTAGAAAAAGAAGAAGAAGGGGAGAAGTAGAATCAAAAGAAGATCAGAACAAAACAAAAACAAAAGAGAACACCAAAAGGCCACAAAAAAGAGGAACAAAAAAGGGAAGAAAGTAGAACACATATTTTATGGAAACACAAAAACCAAATCAAGTTGTCAAGATGATTAAGAAGCCGCTTTGGTCAGAACTACTCAAACCGGTGAATTCGATTAGGGAGGAAACTGCAGAGAGTTCGCCTCAGTATAAACACTGTCACCTGACTTTTCTCTGTAATATCCAGAAAATGGAAGCACAGGAACTCCGTGTAGACTTTGTTTAACCGGCTCAAGCAGCATTAGAACAACAGTAAATATGACACATGTGTGGTCAACGATCGATGCTAAAACAGCAGCGGCTCTTACAGTAGCTCACACTGACGCTGTGTCCGGACATTGCATTTACGTACAGCACGAACTGACTATTAGTAGCTTTCTACTCACAGATAAAAAAATGTGTAACTATGTGAGTATGTAACGCCAATTAAGTGAGAGAATATAAAAAAAAAAATTAAAAACCAGACAGAAAAAACCCAGACAGACTTACCTCACCTCTGCATCTTTCTCGCTGTCTCTTCCTCCTGAGGTCAGTGAGTGAATTGAGCTCGTTAGGTCTGGGAGCGCAGTCGCCGACTACGCAGGCGCAGGACGAATCCCGCCCATCGACCGCACCTAGGGATTGTGGGAAATGGCGTGTAAATAGAATACGTAGTGTTCTCGAACCAAACAGGATTTGCATAGACACTCCAGAATGAAGTCGGATTATTTCTTTTGGCTGATTATACTTTTTAAAAAATATATTTTTATGAAAACTATCATCGTATAAATGTAAAGTATATTGTAAATTACCTAGCGTTTTTTTAATTGCCAAAAGCTACAGTTATTTGCTAAGCTAAGTTATGTTAGAGATTTAATAATAAACTAGGCATTCTGCCTGATACTACATTTGAAAACTACATTTATACAATAGGGGAGACCGGGTATGGTTGTAACACTTTTTGCTTCAGCACCTGTAACTCACTGTATTTTTGAGCTAGAGTTCTCAAACTTTTATACAAAGTACCCACATTTGTTTACTTCAAATGGCACCAATTCAAACCTCTCTCTCTATATATCACAGACCTCGTGAGTTGATGTCAAATAGATGGTGGTCCTTTGTTACAACCTACCCCACTACCGGGGTAGGTTGTAACACATGCAAAAAACAGAGGCCACACCATGTGATATGCTTCAAAAAGAGGTTTATTGAAATAATATATATATATATATATATATATACACACACACACACACACACAATAGTAGCTCCATCTCCGCATCAGTTTAGAGATCGTTGTTTGAAAATTCTTACAATAAATGACCAAAATACTCGCCAAACTCGGGAAGAAGAATAATATTTTTTTCCTTAATTCTTATATATATTTCAAATAATAATGACAATAATGAATAAAAATTGCGATTTCCAAACCACTAGGTGGCAGCAAAGACCACAAAGTTTTGAAAACGAACGCTGCAAATTGACAAGTGTTTCCCCAATGACGTACGACACAATTTAACACATAAAGCGTTCTTTTTTAATATTATTCTAAAGCTGTTTTTGTAGATAGATAGACAGAACGAGATAGCTAGATAGATAGACAGACAGATGGATAAATAGATGGATAGATAGATAGATCTGGTCAGGTCATGAGTATCATGAGTATGTCATCATGAGTATCACTAAAATAGTGATACTCATGATGACATTTTTTTTTTGACATTTTCTATTGAGTTTTAGGACAAACACATAACACACAGAACATACATGACAGCAGTGGCAGTTGGTATGAGCAAGCCGCATACACCATACAGTTAATCGAGATAGGAGATGTGTAAATGAAAAGTAATAAAAGTATTATAGTACTGTACATGGCCTTGCATGATCAGATCTCACAACTAACCAAAGGAGCTTATACAAGAGTTTTCGCTGTAATTGTGATAGAGGCAATCGCTCTTTCAAAAGTCCTAATAGAAACAAACCAGGATTTATTGGTATGTTCCTACCAAGAATTAAATCAATTTCCTTGGAGACGTTCCCCCAAAAATGCTGATATTGAAGGGCAGTACCAGAAGCAATGCACGTAAGATCCAACTTCCTGCTTGCATTTAGCACATAGGGGGGATATCTCAGGATAGAAGATGTTCATAGATTGGGGTGTGCGTTGTAATCTATAAAGGATCCTATATTGAGACTCCGTCAACTTGTTACACAGGAAGGTTTTGCTTATTGATTCCACAGCTCGCAGCCACGCGTCTTCCCTATACTTAGTTGCCAAATCTTTGTACTATACACTTTTAATTTTGTCAATATTACACGGAATGAGGGATTGTAATTTTTTGTATTTTCCTGTTTTGGAACTGTAGTAAAAAATAATCGATATCTGAGGCTATTGTCTGGGCCTGCGGAGGACCTCGACTTAAAATGTAATGTCTGACCTGAAGATAGCCAAAAAATGTTTAGATGGTATACTAAATTTGGCTCTAAGCTGTTCAAAAGACAACAGATTTCCATTCTTAAGTATACCTGCAAAAGTTCTAATACCATGGTTGTACCAACATAGAATTATTTGTGCCCAGACCTGGGGGATAGGCCCTATTCTGTAAAATGGGTTGTAGGGCTAGAGTGGGACCCTTAACCTTGAAAAAGTTCAAGATCCTCTCCCAAGTTTTGATTGTGTTTAGCATAAGTGGGCTGTTTTGGCCTTGACTGGGAGCAGAGACAAGGAGGGGCAGTGCCATGTATCAATATAAGGTTCCTGTCCAGAATCCAAGAATTGTCTAAGCCACCCTAAAACAATATGCATATGACACGCCGTAGTACAACCGAAAGTCGGGCATTGAAAAATCACCCTTTGGTAGCCGCAGTACCTTAAGACTGAGATGTACTTTTTTCCCATGCCAGATAAATTTAGAAACCGCTTTATCGATGTCAGAGAATACACGGTTATTTATCCTTAGAAGGAGCATTTGCATTGGGTAAAGAATTCTTGGAAGAACATTCATTTTAATTAGACTTATTCTGCCCATCCAGGAGATTGAGCTTGAACAGATTATTTAAATTTGAGATATTGACACCTAGATATGTGAAACCAGAATCTGACCATTTGAAAGGGAAATTGGGCAGAGAACTTTTATCCCAAAAGTCCCCTAGAGGCAAAGCCTCAGACTTGTCGAAATTAATTTTGTAACCTGAGAGGCTGCCAAATAACATTATAATTGATATGAGGGCATGGATAGAGGTTTCAGCCTTGGTCAGAAACAAAATAACATCAGCATACAGAGCCAGTTTGTGAACACAGCCACCTAGCATGACCACAGATATCTCATCAGCACATCTAATGTGAGCAGAGGGGACAGGGGACAACCCTGTCTTGTGCCCGACCAAGCATACTGAATCACATTGAGAAGACGTTGGGCATTTGAGTGTGAGAACCTGTGCCTGATAAAGCCTGTCTGATCAGGTTTAATCAGAATAGGGAGATACACCTCTAGTCTACGGGTAAGAAGTTTTGATAGCAGTTTACAATCCACCCTTATCAGACTTATTGGCCTGTAGGAAGAACAACAATCTGAGGGTTTTCCTTTTTTTTAGAATAAGTGAAATATTAGCCAAGTTGAGTGTTGGGGTAGAGTGCCACGTTCGAGAGACTCTATGTACATTCTGGTGAGGGGCTCAACTACTGTATAATCTTGGCCGTTTTCTTATCGAATTCCGGGCAGAACCCATCCGGACCTGGAGCTTTCCCGCCTGGTAGAGATTTATTGTTTCATAGACTTCCTCCTTAGTAATTGGACGGCAAAGTTGGGACCTACTTTCTGCTGATAGAGTCGGGAGATGTATTTGGTCTAGAAATACATCTGTTGTGTCGTTGGTTGAGAAAAAAAACTTTAGTTCTTCCTCTAACATTGTTACGAAAGCAGGATCGCTAAATAAGGATGGGGAGAGCCGCCAGTGACGTGTAGCCGGATCATAATAAGGAGGCGTAAGTTCCAGGCATACCACTAAATGATCTGAGCTTAAATAGTACACACTTTCCACTAACCCTTTCCAACTCGGTCTTGAGGTGAAAAAATAATCAATCCTTGAAATGAATTATGGAGGGATGAAAAGGAGACTGTATAACACAACAGAAAAGCATGTACAAATATATAAAAATAACTAAACGTTTTAGTGTTTATTTACATGTCTCACTGGGGGACGAAAACAGTTTTGGGCTTCGTGCTCTTGCTGAAGCCGTGCGAGCCGTACGAGTTCGGACTAGTCTATGGCACTTGTTCCTACCTCACCAGCGCCGGTAGGAGATGGAGGCGCCATGTTAGGTAGCGGCGGGGGATCCGTAATCTTCGATTGTATTGTTTGCCTCAATTTGGCCAGTCTTTTTCTAAGAGATTGTCCACCAGGCTTTGTTGCCATGTTGCAGTGTCATACACGAGGAGTCAGGCAGGTAAAAGGCACTTTAAATCTGAAAACATTTGAATCGAAGCGGGTAGTGATGTGTCGTTCACGAGTGATTCGTTCAAAATGAACGAATCTTTCGTATCACCCGTGACTGCCGAGTCATATGAAAGATTCGTGACTCGTGACTACAGTCATATTAAATATTTGTTCATATTGAACTCACGAATCACTCACTGCGAACTAATCACTCTCTGTGAACTAATCTTTCACTGTGAACTAATCATTCATTGCAAACGAATCTTTCGCTGTGAACTAATCTTTCGCCGTGAACTAATATTTCGCTGTGAACGAATCATTCTCTGTGAACTAATCTTTTGCCGTGAACTAATCTTTGGCTGTGAACGAATCTTTTGCTGTGAACTTATCTTTCGCTATGAACGAATCATTCTCTGTGAACTAATCTTTTGCCGTGAACTAATCTTTGGCTGTGAACGAATCTTTTGCTGTGAACTTATCTTTCGCTATGAACGAATCATTCTCTGTGAACTAATCTTTCGCTTCGTTCTCGCAGATTCGTTTAATTTGTCACGTGAAAGAGCTCGGGTCTCTTTTGCTCTCATTTATCTTCACATTGTGCTGTGTTTTTATTTCTTATATTTTCGCATGGTTTTAATTGCTTATGACATTTTGTGTATTTTGTAGACTTTGTCAGCGGAAGCAAACCATGTTGCCTTCAGCATTTAGTGTCGGAGAACCGCAGCCTTCTTTACAAGGCCCACAATAGGGCTAAAGCGCCACCTGCTGTAAAACGAATGAAATGATTAGTTCAAGATTCGATCACGACTCGTTCATTTTACTGTTCGAGAGTCAAAGATTCGAATCAATAAAAAGAGTCGGTCTTCCCATCACTAGAAGCGGGGGATCCGCTAAGACAGTCTTCAGTTCACCATCGTCACGGGACCCCTCATGATGACATTTTAAAATGAAGAGGAAGTGAAAAATAATGAGAAAGTATTGTTTTATTTTGTTGAGGTTGAGCTCTGCAGTCTGATTGCAATCCACCATTACTATGCCGTTAATTGATAAAATTATTTCTATGAATAGAATGTGTTTGCTAATAAGACAATATGGCAAAGGGTTTGAAGAGGGAAAAAAGTGTCCAACAAAGGACTTGCCCAGACTCCTTTGATGTTGTAAATTCATTTTCACCTTTCATGTGCCCTTTGTCCAACAAGGGACGATGTCAAAACAACAGTGTTAATCATTACATTTCAGAACTCTGCTTCAGACTCACAGAGGAAAATCTGACTGAATGAGGGTTTAAAGGCAACACTGACTGAATAAGAAGCAGTTGTGATAAATCTTCTATTGGAAATGTGACTGGTGAGAACAACACCACATGCTGTTCCACATCATTATGTGTACAAAGGTGTCTTGTACAAAGGTTTGGTCAAAAAACTTTCAGATGAATAAAATTACTTTGATTTTAGATGTTAAGGTTAAAACAAATTTAATATTTTTTATATATAAATATTGATGAGTTCCAACTCCCATTAATAAGTCAAACCAGCTATCACTATGAGCTAACACTCATTCACATTAGATGTAATGATAAGCCCAAATTATCGCACATGGAATTTTGACATCATATAAAATGCCATATATCAGAATGAGAGATACAGGGAAAACAATTACATTACATTAATGTAGTAGTATATAATTGTGTTGCAGGTGTTCCTGTGTGATGTCACCGTGTCACCGTGACTCAACCTTCCCTGCTGGACAGACAGATCACAGATGCTGATAGGATTGTTACTTCTCTTTTGTTTACCCACTGCCAACACTTGTCTGCAGTGTAACCGCAGGGTCAGGCATCTCCATGATAACATGATACAGTCTTCCTCATTGGCCGACGAGCTGGAATTACAAAAGATTTTTAGCCACGGTGTCGAAATGTTCAGAGAAATCAGTGAGAAGCGAAAAGGAGTCATAGGTAGGATGAATCTGCACAGTGATGCTAAGTTTTTTTGTTTTGTTTTTTTGTACATCAGTTAACTTTATACTCACAGCAACTCTACTCTGAGGCCAACCATTGTTCATTGAAGGACAGCTAAAAGTTGTTTTTACCTTTACCGCATATTGTAAGTGACCACAGAGTGAAGTAAAGTTTACTCCAACATTTGGGTCAACTGGTAGTGGGCCACATGGTGGATGAAGTAGTTAGCATCAAAGGTTGCCAGACTCGGTGCCAGGTCTTTCTAGACAGTATGTGCATGGTCTTCCTGTCTGTACTGGGCCAATTCTACCACAGTCCAGAAAGTGCAAATTCACCATGAGTTCGAACAGGGGTGTTTCAATGTGGCAGGCAACCTGGGCAATGGCCAAGGGCCACGATGGTTGACATTGTTCTAAAATAGACCAACATCAGTCGTCAGGAGGGCCTCCGTGGTCCCTCTTGCCTGGGGCAGCCAAGGCGTCTAAAAATCCCTCTGGGTATGAGTGTGAGTGAGTGTGAATTGTTGTTTATCTCTAACTGTCCAGGGTGTAACCTGCCCTCTCCTGGTGACTGCAGGGATTGGCTTTAGCCAATTGTGGAAGGTTGATTCATGAATTCTTCTTAAGTTTTGGAAATCACCGACATAATGTGTCAAACTGCATACTATATCGTTAGTCCTTTGGTCTTGGACATCTTCTTTTCCTTTCGGCTTAGTCCCTTTTTTTTTCAGGGGTTGCCACAGCAAATCAACATTTTCCATTTTACCCTGTTCTCTGCATCTTCTACTTAATATATTTAAAAATGATCATAATACATTTTTTTTTTTAAATTTAGTTTGGCCTTAAAGTCTTTTGTGAGTTATCTGAAGTTTCCTCTTTTTCCAGATACCACTACTCTGTACAGAGTTCGAGACGAGTACATAAATGAATTTGATCGTATTATGGACAGTCCTTTCGTTGGTGAGGAATAGAAACCACTCTCTCTGAAACTATGTTTGTCTGTATCCTTACCAAATCATTACAAAAAGGTCATGTTCACTTGATTTTGAGCACAAACACTTTTTTCTTTTTAGTCATTTTGACACAAAAAGCCATCAGCATTGTCTCTAAGGGCCAGGAGATCTTAGAGCAACACTTGGACAGTTGGATCCACAACGGTAATTTAGCATTTTTGCCAAATTATTCAAGTCTGGTACAAGACGTTTTGCTAAGATCGTGTTTGTCTTTCTATCACAGGTTTGTGCCCAAACACATGTGGTGAGTTCGATCTGATTGGTTCCTTAATCAATACAGTGACATGATGGTAGTAGAGCAGTGTTTCCCAGCCTTATTTGAGCCACGACACATATTTTACATTTAAATTTGTTTTACAATAATCAACTTGCAATTTATGGCACAGCGAAAAACCTGGACCTGTTTTGTTGAACATAAAATAATTTACTCTCAGGAATTGAAGCTTTTATCATTTTCTACACCATCTATTGGGGAAATGTGGGTATTTCAGGCAAAAGGCAGAACCATAATGATAATATAAATAAATAATATAATTTGGAAAAGTTTGGCAGGCCAGATTAAACAGCTGAACGGGCCACATCCAGCCCCTGTGCCTTAGTTTGCCCATGCATGTTCTAGCCCGTCTAAAGAAGAGCCTATCGTCCGATGGAAACATGATTTTCTAAAAGATTAAATTTGTTAAATTCCTTACCCTAAGCCCTCAGTTTAACATTTGGAACTTAAATACTTGAATATTGTGAATATTATATTGATGTCATAAAGTAACAGAGTACATGTGTTTTAAAGGCGTCCTGAGAAGAAGGGTAATCGACTGCTCCTCCTGTAACTACAAAATCTACACCTGCCCCTCCCCCACCGGCCAGCTGGACTGTGGTGGTAAATCTACATGTTTGTGTTTGTGTGTGTGTGTGTGTGTGTGTGTGTGTGTGTTGTTGTTCGCTGTCAATATTCCAGTCCTACTACATATGTATGTGGGAGTGTACACAGCTTCAGAGAACACGGTCACATGCTGTCACGGGTGGATAAATGTGCTGGACAGTGAAGTGCTGTATCGGTCCATGTGCAAGGCTAATGAAAAACGGTTAATCCGGATGCAGCACTGACCCCTCCTTCCCTGCTCTCATCTTCTCTCTACACAGAGGTCTCAGTGCGAGCCGAGGAAGAAGAACAGGCATTGTTGGACTGTTTCCGTCCGTGGCATCCTCTCCTCTTTGGAAAACTGTTGTATCACTACTCCTGGTCCCCGGGAAAACCAAGAACCAAGGTCTCACATACTATGTATTTCAATAAAAAATAAACATCAATACACATACTTCATTTAGCAACATCAAGCAGTAATGATTTATATGGCATTTTCAATCACCTACATCTTAGCATTTCTGTACAAACATTAAAAGGGAAATTATTAAGGATGTCCGACATTTTTTGCCGATATGCAATATGCCGATTGTCCAAACACTTAACCTACGATTCCAATATCAACCGATACCAAAACTGTAGAAACTGTATCTGTATCTGTAGAAACCACTGTACAAGTTGCTGGTACCAGCATTCTGCATACAATCTCCTGATTATTAAAATAGATTAATTTAATGAGCTGCAAGGCTGCCATCTTGTGACTTTCACTATAATATACAGCCGTTTATACCCAAAACTTTTTTTAGGTCACACGTCACACATCATTTGGCCAAAACCAGACACTGTGTTATCGGGTTTTCATTATCAGAGGAAAAATCGATAACTATTCTTACAGATATTACACAATTATGTTAATATCAGGCCGATCATATCGGACATCCCTAGGTATTATAGGAGACTTAGGTTACTATTTAAACATTTGTTTCATTTGGAATGCTGTGTTGCCTTAGCAACCTCCCAAAAGTCCTTCTCTTTCTCATTGCTGTGTATGAGATACCTGGGATTTCTCAGATCCAACATGGCTGCCTCTATAAAGAAACCTTGGTTCTTCAGTTAATTATAATTGTATTCCACAAGAATAGCAGTTTTGTATGAAATGCAATGAAAGTTTGAAGCAAATGCTCCAGTGCTTGTCAGTAATTCAATCACACATGGAGGATAGTGGGGGAGAGGAGGGGGCAGGATGAAAAAGAATCTTGCAATCATTGCAACATGATGACGAATTTCATATTTTTGGTCATAACTTGAGTTTCATTTCCCTTCTTTGTCCCTGCAGATGTCTGAGGGTGACTTCAGACCTTTGGTGGTGAAGGAAGAGGCATCTGTGGTTTTAAATCAGGTGCAGGTGGAAGAGCAGGGAACGTACCGTTGTTCTCTCAAGAGTCAAACTGGAACAAGTTTCTTCCAGCTCACATTTTTGGTCACAGGTAAAACACATCATCAGTAAAAGAATGTGTCGGATTTGTCAGAGCGACCGAAATGGAACTGTCAATAAGAATAAGTGCCTAGATAAAGAACTTTTTGAATGTGTTCTTGTAGGGGAAATGTATCCAAATCCAAAACATATATATAAATTTATAAATCAAATCACTACATAAATACATACATTTAAATAGGAGAATGAATGAATGAATGGATGGGTTGATGGATGGATGCTGCGGGAGTTTCCTTTCAATACTGCAGCAGCCGTACAGCACCATAAAAACACATGTAATAGAATAGAAACAAGAACAAGAACAAGGCCAGAATAGCAGCAGATCATCAATGAAAAGAAAAGGAACGTGAATCCCCACCATCCTCATTCATTATAAAAACCTCTCCTATTGTGTCACCCTGTTCACTTCATGCCTACCCAACAGTCGTCCCTTTACATGACCACATTGACCGAACCCTCGTCACTCTGCCTCCGAACCCTTTTGAAGATGACTCATACTACACTGAGCGCCTGTTGGTTACAGCCATTGTCACGCTGACTGTTCTGAGTGTGGCAGCGAGCGTCGGACTTATAGTGATCATGAGGTAAGAGCAGTAGCAGTGGGAGTGGATGTGAGGGGGCGAAATTTGAAATGAATGAGAGAGTCGTCGAAACAGCCGCAGGTCATGCCAACAAAAATGATGATCAAGCGAGAAATTGATGTTGATGTCATGGTGAAATTTAAGGCTGATGTCATCATCCATGAGGGTTTGACACAGAGGCTGAAAAGGTTTGTTTATTTAGCACATTTTATTTTCGGATATAAGGCCTCTTCTTTTTTAAGGAAAGGAGGTTTTAAGACACTAGTTGAAGACATATATGTATATATGTATATATATGTGTGTATATATATATATATATATATATATATATATATATATCCATATACAATAAGAATC